GCCTAGCTCCCATAGTTTCCGAGATCTCAGCGTTCATCCGGACGGACAGACAGACGGACAGACGGACAGACGGACAGACGGACAGACGGACAGACGGACAGACGGACATGGCTAGATCGACTCGGCTAGTGATCCTGATCAAGAATATATATACTTTGTGGGGTCGGAAACGCTTCCTTCTGCCTGTTACATACTTTCCGACGAATCTAGTATACCCTTTTACTCTACGAGTAACGGGTATAAAAATATCATTAAAGCAACAGAACGCCATTAACGTAATTTTAAAGGGACAGCAGTGTTATAAGGAAAGGTAGTTAAGAAGAGTCACCATAACAATATTTTACAATATTATTTTTAATTTGAGAAAATAATAGCATTATATCTACTCTTATATCTTTATAGATATGACAACTATAAGTGATTGTAAACTGCAAATAATATGCTTACAATAAGTGCAGCTCATAAAATATGATTACCTGTTAATATTGATTTGGAAATGAAAGACCCATTATATTATAATGATAATTATGATAATTATGATCTAATAAATATAAATGGTGGGACTTAAAGTCTGCGGTTAATACTCAAACTTTCTCAGCTCTCAAAAGTTAGTTACTATAATTTGCTCCAAACCATACAACATCTGAGTTTGTAAGTACTGTTTGGGTAGAGCATTCCAACTGTCTCCGCTCTTAAAGACCAAAATACATCTTGTTTTATATATACAAAATCGTACGATATCGCAGACAGATGCGATCTGGCCACCTCCCCCATTTGGCCAATCTATTTTGGTGTCCCGTGCGACAAAAGCCAAAAGCGAAACAATTTGCGAATGTTTGGACCTGTTCTGTTGTGGGTCCGAATCTGTGGATAAGACGGGCGGGGAACGGAACTGCGGGGACTACTAGATCAGCCCTATTTAGTCCATCAGTCAGTCAGTCAATCAGTCAGTCAATCAACGACCCACACCCAGCCATGTTTCTCGGCCAGTTTGTCACTTGGCTGTCCCATTAGCCACCTCACTTTGGGTCAGCGGCCCATAACGGAGTCTTAAGTTCGGTTTCTGGTGGATTTTGGAAGGAGAAGGGGGTTTCGACGTGGGCGTCTGGCTAATCCCACCTTTTAGGGCCTAAGCAGCTTCTTTTTGCGCCGCCTGCAAATTTATGCAAATTGCTGATTGAATTCAAATTTTCCAACTCAAAATTCTCGCCTCGACAAATATGGCAGCACGCCTTTGGCCTACGAAATTAATTCGGTTTGCGAGTCGCCAAAGATAGCGACCAAAAGCGACAGCGGAGACGCCATGAATCAAAAATTGTATAAATCGTATCAAGATCTTGGCGAGAGTCAAGGTCTTTTCGCCGTGGCCACGGCCCACATCTTGGGTTTTGGAAAGGAGGGGGAATCGGCCATACATATGTAGGTATAGCTGGATAGGTAGTCCGCTGGCATAATTAACATGCGCCAGAGATGCCAACGACTTGTCAGTCGGGAAAAGATACAAAAAAAAAACAAAAAACCGAATAAATCCCAGCAAACAAAGGCAAAATTCCCTTGCTGGTGGGTGTCTTAAAACAATCTCCAGCTATGGATCCACTTTTTCGGCTCCATTGGGTACATCGAATTTCGTATTTCAGTCTCTAGTTTCACTGCACTTGCAGTGCCCGATGGCCCCATGCCGGGGGTTCCAGTTTTTAGCCCTCGGGGAGATTGGTAGATCAGCCACTGCGTGAGTTATTTTATGATTTCTGCAGTCTTTCATGGGGGTGCATGCTATAAACACAAACATTTACATTTGAAAAAAATTGTTTAAAAATCTTGTTGTGCTGTGAAAATGATAATACGGATAATGATTTCGATGAAAACAACTCCTCACAATACTTATTTTTGTTTGATATATATGATATGTAAATAGAATGTACTACCTACTATTATACGTACTACCTACTATTGTATTGTAGTATTTTTGACCCCGAAATCTAGATACTGTATTCGGTAAAAAGTATTCTTTGAATTCCTTATTTGGAGCCTTAGTACTTTCACTAAGCCCTACGTTTCTGCGAACCATCCTACGTGACATCATGCTACCTACTAATTCGCCACTTCTTAATGAGATTCTTTCCCACACGTTAGGCAGAACTATCCATCTGGCTTTCCCCTTCTAGACCAACCGAAAAAACACCGTTTAGAGGCCAATAAAAAATACAAAAAACACTCTCTAATTGCCGACCCTTTCGCAGACGAACTTTCCTCATAATCGCGTCTGGCAGTCGTCGTGTCCAGTCTTTTGGCCATTTCATTTGGCCCGTTGCAGAAACCGCTCACTTTCGGTTAACAAATCTCCAACTGACCTCGATGCAGGCCACACACATCCGACTGTCTCACGTAAAAGGGCTGGGAAAACAGAAAGAACTTTGCGCTTTTCATTAATAAAGTGCCGCAGTCTGTCGGTTTCGGACGGTCTGTGCCAGTAACACATATATTACATAGTAAAAGACCTGGCCTGCGGGCAAGTAATCAAGTGAGCCGTGTACCAAGAGTTACGCGGAGTAACCAGTTACGTTTTATGACCTGGTCAGTCCATAGATGGCCAGCAGTTGCGGGCGGCTAATGAAAAGAAATGAAGTCCGAGCTGGAGGTATTGGGGTTTCGCCGGAGGTTGCGGGGCGTTCAAGAGGAAGTTCTCGAAACGTGAAAAGATTGGGCAACATTGCAGCGCGGGCTGCCATGATTTTCCCGCACTTTATGGGCCGCATTTTCCGGGGAAATGCTGCTGTGCGGCTGCAAGTCCAAGAGCAATAACTCCTAGATGGCTGGGCTGTCGCTTTTGTCGCTTCATTGCGGAAACCATTCAAACGACATTTTCGGGGACACCCAAGTGGACAGGAAGCCGGCTCTAAACGGCGATTACAGAGTAAACTCAGGTGAGATCCACGCTGATGACAGAACCGAAATAACATTGTTTTACGACTGCTACATGTGGAAGCCCCCGGAATTTATGTGGAAATAAAACGCGACACATCCCGGACCGATGGAAACAAATGCTAGCAGCGACCAGCGACAGTTTATTAATTATGATGGAAAGCCCCATGCTCTGATAATCCCTTCAAACGATGGCGCCACGGGGCCTAAGCTCCTGAAATCCCTGTGGTGGAAATTCAGGAAATGTTTGTCCGGCAGCAAAGACATCCCAAAGGCGGAAATTGATTTATAGTATTTAGCTCAGAAGGCTTTCGTTTTATCACTTGAAAAAAAAAATCACCAAAAGATGCCTATATAATATATACTGTGAAAAGTTCTTATCATCTCTAAATAATGAACCCAAGTAAATAAATAAAAAAACATTTTTATAGGACATATTTGTAAATGATTACAATTCATAACACAAATTAAGAAGAGGGAGATGTATGTACTAGTGATTTGTGCTTATCAAAGATATTTCAAGGACTGTTGTCACCAAGAGTTATTTTGGACCTTACCCTATCCTTAGTTGTAAGATCTCTCAACTAAATCTGCTACTTAAATGGTATTGAATACTTTTATAGGTCGAAAATACTTATTTAAGGAAGTACAAAGTGTACTTGACTTTTTTCCCAGTATATCATGTCAAATTTATAGATCTAGAGAAATATATTTCATAGATATCCGCCCTGGGACAACTGGAAAAGCTCTGTGGCTGGGCTCTCTTAATTTCTATATCCTATCTTCTATTTCCCCTATCACCCTCTGATAAGCAGCGACAATTGCTGTGGCACGTATGATGCCTCAGAACATCCCACATCCCACGAGGCCAGACAGAAATAGCCCGGCAAAGCCACGGCACGGCCAATAAACCTCAAATTATATGTGCTATATGTGCTTTATATATAGAATAGAGGCGACACATTAAAACAAATTGAAATTACCAAATGCATCTATGAAATTTATCGCACCGACACCCAGACTGACTAAAAAGATACAATGAAATCCAGGGGATGGACGGGGCGGCGAGGAATTAATTTATGGACATCAATCTCAATACCGCAGTATCCAACAAGCCCATTGCCCCTCAGAATCCCCTATTTGCCCGCCCGTTGCTCCGAAATTTGTGTGTTTGTTGATTCGGGTTGGAAATTTATTTTTAATATTTTTTCGTAGCGATTTTTCGTCTGCACTCGCCGCCGCCTGTTGCCATTGTGGGCGGCCAAGCCCGATTCGAAAACATAATAAATTAAGAATATTTATTTGTTTGCGGTAATTGTGCGAATAATTGATGATTATGTGCCTCATTCCCAGCCACTGGAGTCCGTCGAGTCGTGGGCATCGGCGAATGCAACTGCCAGCGCCGAGTGTTGAATGGTTTTTAATTAATTCCGAAAGAGGTTATATGAAGTTGACCCCTCATTACAGTGAATCTGAAAGGCTGCGTGGGTCCCCCGCGAGGAGGTGATTCCATATTGAGTGCTGACAGGCGTTAAGCCTGATGACCAATTGGATTTATAAACCACCGATGAATTCCTTCGGTTCTCAAGAAAGCTAGGGGAAAAACTTTGTCGACGACCCTATCACATCCCATATTGTCTAGTGGTTAGGATATCCGGCTCTCACCCGGAAGGCCCGGGTTCAATTCCCGGTATGGGAAATATGGTTGACTTATTTTTTTCACAATATATCAGAAGGTTTAACTTTTCGAAATTCTGGATAATATTTAATGAATTTAGAAACGTACAAGTTGAAAATTATTTAAGTCTTTCAAATTTGTATTTTCGAATTTTTTTCAAAAAATCCTAGAATAAACATAATCGTTAGCCAACACTGCTAATCAGTAGATCTCATCTCCCATATTGTCTAGTGGTTAGGATATCCGGCTCTCACCCGGAAGGCCCGGGTTCAATTCCCGGTATGGGAAATTTGGATGCATTCAACACTTTTTTAAATAAGTAATAATAAACCTTTTTATTGAAAACTACTCTGACTTTTTCCAGATTTGTTTGACTTTTCTGTCGCTTATATTACTAGTAGTAAGAAATATACCTTAACTTTAATAATTTTGCAAGAGAATATGAAAGACTCAAACAATTTAAGCGAGCGTAAGCACAGAAGAACAAACGTACGTGATAGACAACGTAGGAAAGCAATAACACACCCAAGTGAAGTGGGTGAGGATGTCATAACCGCCAGAGGAGTTAACAGCTCATATAAGAATTATTTTATTACAACGGATCGGGGGCAGCCAGATTCTAGAAAACACCGAGAGTCCAGTCCCGAGGGAGATGCTCCCATCTATAAGTTAAGTCCGCCAGAGGATCCAAAGGATCCTGATCCAGAATGTAATTCTGCAGAACGTTACCAAATATCCCGGTCAGAATGTCGAGACAAGACTTTACTTTACATTATCGCAGGATATGTGGTCGGAATATTAATAGTATTGATCTGGTATTATAAAAATCCCAAAAAGGCCTGCATGGATCTGAATGGAAAATGGGTTTTCATTGTTCTGTTCTTTCTTTTATTACTCGTATTGGTTCAGAGGCGTCCAGCGAGGTGTGTTGGATTAGGAAAAGTCGTCGTCATTTAGTAACTACTTTTTTTGCAGGTGCATTGCAGCTCTATGTTTTGCCAGCCTATCAAGCTACCAATTTCGAGCAGTGATTATGGCCTTAGCTTTCCTTGTGGCTTGTACGGGACCCGTAAAGAATATTATTCACAACATTTGCATCATGGCGAACTCTGTATCCTGCGGACAGAATGTCCTCATAAAGGCTCTAAGGCTCATGCAACGTATCATATATGATCCTTCTCGTTCAGTGGAAGAGTCGTTTCAGGCAACATTGGCTGATGTGCGCCTGCTCATGAACAAATTAGATAAGCTTTTGCTAAATCTGGAGAGGCCCATATCTCAAATACGTTAGTATACCACAGCTTTCTAGACTTTTTTAAGGAGGTACTATGTAATCTACAGATGCCACTTATAAGACCTGTGCAGATTGGTTGATCTTGCAAAAGGATCAGTTTGATTACAAGATGGGAACTCCCTATAACCGGTGCTTGAAAGCAGGCAACTTAAGTATTACTCAGTGCAGAAGAGAGTTCGGAGAGAAGACCAAAGATTGCTGTAATCAAGAGAGATTTGCTTGGTTCTGCGATAGTCTCAAGAACTTGAAAACTTTTTTCGATGATAATCTTCAATGGTCCCAGGTTGTCATTGAGGAAATATTCCAACGTGCGTTGAGATAGTTATACTTTAACCTGACTAAAAATACAATTTCTTACAGGCTTCCAGTTATGCTTCATGAAAATCCGATATACTTTTATAACCACCATTAGTTTTGATCACAGTTTGAAATTTAATTCGACAAGTTCACTAACATCAGAAAGGGGTCAGATGAACGATCAGGACATAACCAGAAACTTTGAGTCACAGAGGCACAAGTTCTTCTTTGTTTTTATTTATCTTGATATGATTATTTTCATACTTCTGCTCACTATAATTCTGCAATCTCTATACTTTTGGTTCCGATACTTAGCCAGTGACAGCTTCGAAAATGTCTATATAACCAAGGGTTTCGAGAGCTATGATGACCAACAACATGAGATAATGGGAGTAAGAGCCTTACCCTTGAGCAATTGTGAGGAGAATCTATATGTGAAGGTATAAACTGAATATATATTACAATCTATTGTTGTTCATTTAGATATTTAGATAAATTCGATGCGTATTCTGCCCAAAGAACACAGTACGGTTTGTCGCTCATGGATGTTCCTGATGATCACAGGAATCCAGCTCTTCTGCATCTGCTTCGTAGACTACAGTCTTTATAATATGCTGACTTTAATGTCCTTTCATGGACATATGACTGGTGGTCTTCAACGTAAGCTTCAACTTGGATGGGTTTTTAATATTTTTAATGTCAATTTTACAGCTCCCGCTTACCAAAAGATTGTTATCAAGGGTGGAGGCAAAATTGGTGACATTTTAAGAGACCTCGTCCACGCTTTTGAGCCAAAAGCTTTTAAAATCAATACCCAAAGATGTCTTCCGACCCCAGGGAAGCCTAAGTACCTCCGATATATTTGGATTTTACTGCTGTATTTGCTGGCCTGGTTCATGGTTTTTTGGGAGCCATATGGTCTACGCAAAAAACACCGTATAATGGTCTACTTTTACCCCGAGGAATCCAGCCGAAGAGTTCACGACTTGCATTATACCATCTTGAAAGGAAGAAGTGAGCAATGCTTAAATATTTTGTTATTAATTTCTTAATTTATATTTCTATAGAAAATGTTTTTAAAGAAAGATGTCAGCAGGCACGTTTGTTAAACGCTTTTGAGAATAACAAAACATTGTTATCCAGGTTTCCCTGGTTTGACAATCGTGTAAAAGGGTATGTTCCCAAACTTTTATGTTTTAAAAATCCTATACATTTTTCTTTTTTAGGTGTCTAATTGGTTGTCGTAGAATTTTTATTGGCAAAAACTGCATTATTTGCAATAAGCCTCTGACCAAGTAAGTTAGGTAAACTTTATTCTATGTTTTTTTAATCATCTTTTCCTTCTTATTCAGGTCTGATAATGTTCCCTGTGATTCCCAGAACTGCAAAGGAATCTATTGTACTATGTGTTTTCAGGAGTGCAACAATTTATGTATTTTCTGCAGTTCGCGATACGACGGTGATATATTGGAACTTGGGTAGTTTTAAAGAATGCTAATTTTGGGATAGTTATTAATCTTTTCATTTCTTTAGAAACTCCTCTGACGACCCAGATGATGATTACTGCAACCTTGATAACATAAACCATCAGCGAGATAAGAAAGCATAGCTATAGAACCATAAAACTATTCGGACAAGAATTCTATATTAAGACAGGATTTCATCTAAAGCAGAAGAATTATGGCTGGCTGCTTCTTATCAAGTCCCATATTGTCTAGTGGTTAGGATATCCGGCTCTCACCCGGAAGGCCCGGGTTCAATTCCCGGTATGGGAAACTTGTGTGGACATTTTTTTTCTACACTCTCCTTAAGTTATTTTTTATTAGTTTAGAATTGTATATTTTAACTCAAATTAAAAAGATTTTTAAGATTTAAATAAAAACCTATTTACATTTATTAAAATCATTTGCTGTTAGTCTAGAAACTCTTAGACGAACTTTATTATCGACATTAAGAAAATCAATAACAATATCTAAAAATAGAACGCCACGTTCACATATACTTTATAGGGGCAGCGAATCGCTGTGTTTACATACACTATTTCGCCGCCACGAATTTCATGTCCCATATTGTCTAGTGGTTAGGATATCCGGCTCTCACCCGGAAGGCCCGGGTTCAATTCCCGGTATGGGAAGCTTTCTGAGGACGTTTATTTTTTTTCCTAAGTAGCATAGCCTCAGCCTATAAAAACTTTCTTCAAAATATAAATCGTTTGTTAATCCTGTACGTCTTTACTTATTCTGTTTTCGCTCCTAATCGAATTCCAATAAGTTTGCAAAGCTATTTTTATACTGGCTGACTCAAAGTTTTCTTTTAATTTGCCGAGGTATAAATTGTGTTTTCTTATTATTATGCTCTCCACTAAATCCACTCGAGTCCCCAGCTTACTTCATCTCCTTCCCGAGTAATTTTCTATCCCATTACCTAATTTCCTCCTACTCAATGGTCAAGGACCCTTCTTCTTTAATCCAAATAACTTTCAGCATAATTTTCTAATTCAATCGGTGGTCCTTTTTGGCAAAACAAACCCAAAGTTCCGTGTTTTTCTGGGCGGTGAGATGGAAAGGGCAGATGGGAAGCGAAAAGATGGGCTAACCTGCGGGTCTGAGTTACGAGACAGTTCCAAAACGGTTCCAGTTCAAGCGAAACGGACAGATTTTACGAGCCGCCTGCCAACTGAAAGTAAACTACAAATGTTTACACAACCGGAGGACTAAAGGACTACAGGACTACAGGACTAGGAGGCGGAGAGTTGGGACAGCCTGGCAAAGTTGGAGCAAAAATTGAAAAACTTTTGCCATCGCCTTGTTTTTTTTATGATGATGACGGGTACGACGACGATGGAAACGCCTATTTTTGGAAAAGGGGGCGCACCCTTGCCACGCCTCCTTGGTCGCCCCTTTCGGAAGTAGGACAGATAAATATAAAATTCGGCGAAAAGTTTTCCACACGTCTGGCTGCTTTTCCTGGCTTCCAATTCCTAGCAATTGAAATTGGTTTCTATGGAGCTTCTTAAGGTCGAGATACAAACTCAACTTCATGTGAGCAACTAAAGAAAAAGGAACTGAAACGAAATCCTGGGGGATTTGCATTTTCCCCCCTCAGTCTAATTGTGTGGAAAATTGCAAGAAAATAATTCGCCAAATGCAAATGCCAGACACTCTTGCATAAATATTTAAGCGATTGAGTATTTCTGCTTCAATTGTGGGGTTAGACGTCTGAATTTCCCCCGTTTAGAACCCCTTTTGCGGTTAGATCCCGAGCTTAATCAGCCCCTCCAATCGGATAGGTTCTCGCATTACACGCGGTTGGCTTTTCCCCCTCGACTGTTTTCCAGCTTTTCCTGCGGTTTGGCAATTTTGCTAAAGATACAAAGCGCCGATACGGAACAATGAGATGTGTGTGAGCTGTGAGGTGAGAACAAAGCGTTCCCGACCACAAAACAGCGGATAAGTGAGAATGGGCAGCCGGAATTTGCATAGAGGAGCACAGCCCACAGTGGTGCAGGATACAGGGACTTAGCGGAAAATATTACGAAGGCCTTGCATTTCATCTATCGGAAGAATACAATAACTTTAAAATAGAAACTACTTTGAAAATACTTTGCATTTTCATTGTATTGAACCATTTTATAAGACAGATATAAGTTTTGCTACGATATGTATTCGTTACTTTCTACTGCGTGTGTGTCGGCAGAGTGCCGGCAGCAAAAAACCCTATTTCCACTATATAGGCATGTTGTGAGCCAACTCTTAATCATTAACGGGAATGTAAAGTAATATAAAAATCAGTAAATTTCTACTTATATTTCTTGGAGTTATCCAGAACACTTGTTCCACTGTCCTATTTAGGAATGATATCTGGCTCGCAGTTTTCGCCCAACAAAGAGAAAAGAAAAGCCACAGTACAACAAACCCCGAAAAGCCGGCGAATCTTTTCATTCCGCGAGGCAACGAGAAAGGAGGTCCTTTGCGTAATTGCAGCTCCACGGACAACGGACGGAGTGACCACGCCCACTCAATGAGCAAACACTTTTCAAATGGAGGTGTGCTCCTGCCCGCCGGGTGATAGTATTCCTATAGTATTCCTAATTACAGCTTTAAAGGCGGCGCACATGCGAAACCAAATTAATGTGGTCGGTGGAGTAGAAGGGGCATCCTGTCCAGGTTTTAAGGACGGGTTAGTGCACTTTTTGATCGCCGAATCGCGTGTCACTGGCATTTCCGCCCACAACAGCGGCATTTCCCTTTATAAAAGGTTCAAGTGCAATTTAATTGAGCGAAATGCATAAAGAAACACAAACACAAATTAAATGTGACATTTTTATTTGCGGTCCTCTGACCGCTCAAATTAATATGGCGTCACGGTGTCACAGGAAAATGGCTTTAATTACCATTAGAATGATGGGAGTGCTTGTCGGGGAAATAACACTTAAAAGGGGAACTATGGGGCGACAAAATGGGGGGCTTACAGCAAAAAGGGGTCTTCAACTTTAGATCCTAAAATAGTTTTACCAGTTTATAAAAGGCATCATCAAACTTTGGTTGACCTTTTAAAAGTTACAGCTCGGATATCTAAACGTTTAAAAAACATTTTCAAAGTGGAAATAAAGGCCAGCTATCTTATAGTGCCTAAAAAGTTACATAATTTTGATTTTCGTAGATCCTTAAAAACAATCCATAGATTTCAGTAACAAAGAGATATATTTGTAACCATAAACACCACAATGAATTGAAAACCAGGTAATGAAAGGAAAGAAAGGTGAAAGTGGGGATTGGGATGGCATTTACTCATTCTATCCGCAGGTCGTAAACAAGGTATTCCATCCCATCCGCGATGCTACACATGAGATAGGCAAGTGCAGTGGCGCTAACAGGATCATAAATCCCGCGATATAAATCTGAGTTGGAGGAGTGAGATGCGTTGTAGGTGCTGTGTGTGTGGGTCCCTAGTTCCCTGCTTAGGTGATAAACCCTCGCACACGTCGAAGATTTTGAATTACTTTCGTTTTTATCGCCAGTTTTCATAATTTACACGCGACCTGCCTAGCAAAACGTGGAAGATTCGGATAAAATCTGGCGAGGTGAGAGGAGCATAATGCTGACGACTCACTTCATCATAAATTCACCTGTCGTTGCCAGTCCATCGAGGAGCCAGAAAAAAACCGGACCTGCAACGGAAGTTGCCCAACATTGTCCTGGGAAAATCAGGGAAAAAGAAGGGAGTCGTCGTCGTCCGAGGAAATTTTTGAATTTTCCCGGCGTGGCGAGTGCGCGAAAATTTCGTGGAATTCCTCAGGCTGCTCGGGCTGGTCAGGTCGTTGCTCAGGAGACGTTGTCGCGTCATTCGAATTGAAATTTCATTAGTTTTACGAGGGGCCCAGCCTTCGATTTCGGTTTACGATGCTTCCAGGGAAATCTATGTACCGAACCAGGCAAAACCCGGAGCTCCGGAGTCGAGTCGAGTCAGCTCAACGCGATGCGATGAATTATGGAAAGCGATTTACATTTGCTGGCTCATATTTTATTGCTGCTTGTTAATTTTTTCATTGCTGCTCCGCTTTTTTCCCTGCTTTCCCGACGCTTTTCTTATTTGCCGAATGCATGAATTATGGATTCTTCCCTTATGGCGCTGCCAAAAGAATGCAAGCACCGAAAAAGAGAAAATTTGTTTCCATTGTTGAAACATTCTGCGCAAATTTATTGAATTATTTAAAGAGGGGAGTAACCAATCCTTGTCGGTTTCACAAAATGGATGGGCTCGAAGCCAAGAAGGATATCTTTGGAAATTGCGTGGCCCAACTTTAAATTCGTTTTTAAGAAACTTTCGCGGGAGAGCCGCCAATATATAGAACATTCTTTATAATTTATTATGTGACAACGGAAGAAGCTAAGAAGTTTAAAAGTGGATTTAATATTTGAACAAGATATTTCATTTTGTGATAGAAATACTTTATCAAATGAGTTTTTAGAAATATTCTCAATGATGATGACAATACATTGGATAAAAAACTTACTCTCGTTTTTTTAAAAGAGCATATGCTAAAATAACGAATGAAATATAATCTTTCAAATAAAAATTGCTATATTACCCGCTGCAGTTTAATCCAAACTTCCGCCAGAGGGCGCCCCCATATTGAGCCACTGCTGACCCTTTGGACAGCCATAAAAGGAGACAACTCCCCACTCGAATGCAATAAAAATGTATCAAGAGCCCCAACGAAAGGGAAAAGCGCAGGGAGAAAGGGGAAAAGGCAGCTGACATTAGTGCTGCGAGCGGAGAATGGAGAACGCAGAATG